ATGAACCCTACAGGTACAGACAGGCTCCAGCGGAGTGAAACTGCATTAAAACACGTCATATGCAAAACTGTTGTGAAAATGTAAGAGCAGATGTTTCTTGAAAGTATAGCGTGGCTTGGGTTTGTGATTGGTTGAAGAGTTTGTGTGTCTACAAACTCTTACACACGTACACGCAAGCGTGGACCCGCCCTCCCCCCATGACATCAATGTGTTTTGCAGCTTTGTTGCAAGCTTGCATATTTATCAACACTCTGCATTATATTATTTATGTAAATGTTGAATGTTTATTTTTATGTTATGGTGATTCAAAAGACACAAAAATGTATAAAATGTATGTTATTACATGTAAAATATTGTTCTTGGCCATCATTATATATGTATTATATATATTATATATATTATTTTAATCTACCTTATATGTGGCTAAATGCAACCAAAATCACCTTTAAATATTGTTGTTTTAATTTAGTAAATGCAGTTCCTGTATTCCTGACCTGGTGTATATTGTTCATTGCTTGAGGTAAATTATGTTTTGTTTCCCAAATGGATCATAACTCAGACACGCAACTACAATTGTTAGGCTTGGATCAGAACAAGAGAACAGATGGTTATCTGTCCAAATATGACGCTTTTGTGGTGTTTTCTTAGAATACCTGGCTGCTGGAAATCGTGTTTTGGCGGCTTGGGGGCGTAGCAGTGACGCACACAGACCGAAGCCGCAGGCCTGGATAAATACCGCTGCTCTCGACCGTTAGAGCCACTTCCCCCCTTCCTCTCGACACCGAGTACTTCTCTTAGACAGAACAGAAGACGAATCCGACAATAACATGTCTCCAAACATGTCTTATGAAACGCTGCAGCCTTTTTCTCCACGGCTCACCGTGGCCAAAAGAAAACAGGCTCTGGAGCTGAGAAAGGTAAGCGAAAACATTTGGATTTAGATTCTTTTTTCTTTGCGTGCATTGTCTACTGGGTATCTGTAAATTGAGTTTGGTAATTTAAACTATGGTTTATGTTTTTTCCAGGCTATAAAACCATTGATGGAAAAAAGAAGGCGCGCTCGTATCAACGACAGTCTGGACCAACTGAAAAACCTCATTCTTCCCCTCACAGGCAGAGATGTAAGTTCTAACTCACATTACAATATAATCCTACAATAATGTTCAGCCAATAAAATAACGATCAAATGCCTTGAAATGTGTAATAACCCGATCCATTCTTCATTTTCTTCCAGAAGACTCGCTTCTCTAAACTTGAGAAAGCAGACATCCTGGAGATGACCGTGAGGTTTCTCGGCAACATGCCCTCTGAAAACACCAAAGGTGAGATCTTTTGTTGTTTTGACGATTTCTCTGTGTGCAAAATATGTCACCAGCTGATTCGACCTTTTTGAACAACAACACTAACTTTTCACCCTCATTGCAGACGCTGCAGACAGTTACAGAGAAGGCTACAAAGCCTGCCTCCAGCGCGTCTCGACTCTGCTTCCCAATTCCAGCCTGGATCCGGAGGCGTGCCAGCGGGTGAACGAATTCGTTCAGCAGTCCATGTCCTCCAGCATCGCTCCGACATGTGTGAAATGCTGCACCCAAGGCTCCAGAACGTTCCCAGAGATCCAGAGGAAACTCGTGAGCCTGAAATCCAGCGTCACCTCCAGACTGGAGAACCAATTCCAGCACAGCGGTGGCGCGGTGGCTCCAGGCGGAGCTCAGCCGGGTCCACAGGCCGTCCACGCCGCCATGTGGAGACCTTGGTAGATAGTTCAAATGTAGTTGGGAAAACACGCTGAAAATATCGGATGTGACAGTGACAAGATAGCGTCAAGATAGCAGCGAACGGGATTTTTTGCGCAGTGATTGTTGTTGATGAATATCGTTATTTCGTCGTTACTTTAATGATTGAGTATTATATACTTACGCGTTACGCACGGGTCTATTGTCCAACACGCGGTGACAGTTTTAGTCAGTCGTAATCTTTTTCAGAATCTGCATGTATGTATACGGTAAATATTTAGTCCTCCTCGTGGACTAAGTTAAAAGGGTGTACTGAAACAGCCCTGTAAGACCCTGAGGGTCAGTGTTTGTTAGATTTGCACCATAGACCTCAGTGTCCTGAGTCTGTGCAGATGGAATTTGTAGACATGTTATGTGTCATTGAAAGTATCTCTGTTGGGATTTGTTGTATATTTTTTTGCTATCGTTGTAGCAAATTTCTGTATATATGTTATATAAATCCAAAAAAGTAATAAAACTGCGATGTCGTGGTTAAAATGTGTACGTGTCCTACTTGTTTCTTCAAAAACACGGTTTCATTGTGCGTAATGACGCATGGGTAAGAGGATGAATGGCACTGAAACACACACAAGATGGGTCAAAAACAGTTTAAAATGCTACAAAAAAATTATGCGCGCGCATGCACGCAATCGTTACATAGTAGGGGCCAACATTAGCAGCAGGAAAACAAAGATAACGTCATCAGACGCCACATTTCATTCATTAAAACAAGCATATAACCATATATGGCAAGAACGTCTTGAGCACAGACGCCAAAAACCAAACGTCTGTCAGGAGCTTCTTAAACCAAGACAATGAAAACCGTTAGAAGACCCCTGTGTGGATGTTGTGGTAAACAGCGCCTACCTCAGACAGCACGTGGTATTATTACACAGGCCTAACAAATTGTGGTCTCTGCTGCCCTCCTGTGGTTGTTTTGTGGTGCAGTATAGTCACGTTTACTTGCATTTATTTCCACATCTGGGAAATCTACCACACACACTCTCGTACTGTCCAAAATTGAGCTTAACGTAAAAAAACGACTTGAGTTGAGTAGCTCGAAAAAGAAAGAAAATGATTTCCTACTGTATCACTGCCTGTCTGTTGAAAAAAACCCAAACATTTTAAGCCAGTGACGCTACACAATGTCCGGCTGTGGAAAATCACAAACCGTCCCTCCTGCAGTACCGCCGCGGTCCACAAGATTATATCTTTCCACAATTGTGCTTCCTACCTTTCGCTTTACTTAAGTTGGTCGGTTCTAAATATTAAGCCTTTAAATCTCTAAGCAAAAACAAAATCGCCATGTTGTAATTTAAGTAAATAATTATATATTCATTTATTTTAGGTTCACAGAATGCTCTGGTGAGTCAATACTCAAAAACGCCGGCCGGCGTCTCGATCACTGCCGACGAAACACGACACAGGAACCGAGAAACACGAGACCAGGAGGCAAGACTAGCATCTTCTTTACCGTCGCCCTCCTCATCGCCCGCACAGGTCTTGCCATCATGTCAGCAGAGATAACATCCTCCGTTCAGCTGTGCAGGTAGGATGGTGTTTTAGACTCATTCATACACACGATGGTGGAGAAAACACAACTACGACGTCACGGCGTGATCGGTGCCAACTGGAGGATAATCCTCTACAACACACACAGCACACTTCTGTTCACACACACATCGACAGACACTATCTGTTGTGTTAAACTGAGTGTTGATTATTTAGCTCCTGGTGCTTACGGACTATCTCCTCGTGTTCGCTGTTCATCCGTAATAACAAGGTCGATGCATTAGGCACCGTTAATAGACGTTTCTATCTGAAAGTATACACTGAGGATGCTAACGTTTAACAAACTACAGTCCAGCTTTTATTTTCTGGCATACATTGGTATTTAGGATGGGGATAATTTGTTTCCGGTAAACGCTGTGTGTGACCCGTGCTGACAAGTTGTGTATGTCAGAGCAGCAAATATAATTTCGTTGGTACAGAAGTAAATGAGAACCTCATTGAGAGACAAGCGTTGGTTGTGTGCGTCACTTGCTAGTGAATTCAATTGTAGTAAAGGGGCATCATTTCCCAGCAGCCCAATAGGGATATTATACACGCTGCGGCCTGCAGGTGGAGCCACTCTCTCTAAACATGTGGATATTTCCTTTCTGTCCTGTCCTTGTGTCAGGATGAACTCCGAATTCAAAATGTGATCAGATTATTCATGAAAACTGATCAAACAGGTTAATATACACGGAGAAGCTTGGTTAGGAGGAGTCGACTGACAACAGTAGGTGAAGTACAGTAGTAGCAGGGAGGAACACTTATGATTCTCCCTACTACTGTACTTGAGTGCTCACTTACCACTGCAGTATATAATCTATACTATATATATATATATATATATATATATATATAAAACTGTGATATTATTGACGTGTTTAACCACTAGTTATGTTGTGGCCTGAGTTTTTCACCACACCCCTCTTAGCTGTTCTTCATTCATACGGCCAGCTGAGGTGTGTATGAATGAATCAATGACCTGAAGCAGATGTTTTCTGCCTCAGATAATCCACATTCCAAACATAACTTTTCAAATGTCACTGCACCTCACCTCTATGTTATGTTACAGTCTGACACATGGTTTCCTTTGTGTGTCACACATATGCCAGTTATCATGCACTTCATTAGTTACCAGCTGCAGTTGTAGGTGTGTTTTAATCCAGTTTGACCAGGAGTCCTTATGGAGGCGGAGTTAGCATAAAACCTAAGCAGATATCAGGGCCTAACACTCTGATAACACATGACTGTTCACCAGGTAATTTATTAGAGCCAGTTAGGAAGTAAGCAGCTGTGAGTGCAGAGATGCGTTGCTTCAAGGTTCGGAGCAGTAGGTCAGCTGATGAGGAGGACAGGACGAATGCATCGGCCGTGGAAAAATGTTCAGTCAGTCAGAGTCAGCAAGTGGGTAGAGATGTCAGGGCTGGAGGAGAGACTGCGGCACAGCAAGCGTCCAAATATCAAGTCAGCAGGTAGATCATCTTTGACTCACACACACACACTGAAAACTGAACACTGTCTGGGAGGATGCTGAAGATACAGGAGTCTCCTTTTGTGTTGTTAGTTTTGTCTCTGAAGAGAAATATTTGTACAAGAACCAAGAGTAATATTTTGTTGAAAATCCAAGGTAAAGCAAGTCCTATAAAACACACAGAGACACTAACACACAAAACAATTCACAATTAGAAAAATTAGACAACTGTCTCTAAGGACAAAAATCAAACATTATACCTTGGTTTCATATTCTTAAGCTAAAATCAGAAGTTAACAAAGAAGAAAACAACCTGTGCCACTATTAACTCCATTAATAGAGAGTATTAGGGTTATATCAGTGTAATACGGTGTTGGAATATAATCAGTGGATTTTTACTCTCCTGCCTTTGCCTGTATTTCTGTGACACATTTTTCGACACATTAATAGTTTTTAATTCCTGGTCATTGAATTGAAATTCTGACTCATTCTGCAGGAAGTCGTCTGTGAACTCTGTCATTCATGTAAACCACAGACACATTCCTCACACCTACACATTCTTTTGTCCAATAACAAACAACGGTGCATCTGTGTGTGTAATCTCACAGTTAGTCAGCTGATAAGGCTGAAGGTCACACAACTAGTTGTATGAGTAGTTGTGTGTATCATCATTCCAAGAAGAATAGAAAACAGCTGATGTACATGATGATACTGTGACCTGATGGAGACAGCAGCAGGTACTGCACATAGAGGTTGTATCTACAGGGACATCACCTCATACTGGACTCAAACCCAGGAATGTTTTGCATTTAGGGCAGACGTGATAACTACTACATTATCAAATTCCCACCCATTATCTGTAATGATTCAGCTGTTTTGTGTTACCCAACTACCTAACTAAGTAACTTTACCTAACTCTGAACATGATTAGTTAAAGTAGATATTTTTAAACAGATAATAACATTAATAAATAAAATAATTATGATATCAGTTGTATGAAGTTCGTTACTATTTGTCACACAGAAGGAAAGATTACAGATAACTACTGCTGTAATGTTATGTTCCCGTGATTAAAAAAACAAACTTTAACTGTGCCATAAACACTGCATGACATACACATAAACACCTGGTGAATCATAATGCAGTAGTCTAGAAAACTTTGATGGGCCAAGGCATCATCACATAACCTTATTTACATATAACCCTAATAAACATGAGAAACAGAAAAGCACTGTTTTAATAAGATACCAGTACTTTTGGTTTAGTTTAGTTTCTAAATAACTATTTTTAAGATTTCTGAGTTTCATGAGGGCTGCAGTTTTTTACACATCATAAAGACACATAAAGACAAACTCCCATCAGGTTTACGTTGGGGACTAATTCATCTTCTCATCTTCAGGATAATGCGACCAGACGACGCCAACATCGTGGGCAACGTCCATGGAGGCACCATTCTGAAGATGATCGAGGAGGCTGGTTACATCATCAGCACACGACACTGCAACACTCAGAATGGGGTGAGATACAGCAGGAGTGGACAACAACAACAACAACAGGGGGATGTAAAATATCTGAAATCTGCACATAGTCTTGAGTGTCTGCAGATCAGGTTTGACAGATGATGATGTTGTCAGAGTGAACTATCACCCACTTCGCTCTTTCCTCTGTAACCTTTACACGACTTCTTTGTTTCATCACTAGATTTACATCTCACCTGCTGTTGTGGCTGTTGTTACATTCCCATCATAGTCTGGGGCTGTTTGTCATTCCACTCATCATAATATATTATATTATATTCTAATAAAAACAGGTCAACATTACACAAATCTAAAATAGAAAGCAAATTGAACTGAAAAAAGTTAAAATAAGAAAAAAAAGCAAAAATAGAGAAAAAAATGATCAGATTTATTGGCCAGCGTGTCTCAAGATAAAAATCTGTCATCTGAATTTAAATGACCTCTGGAGGCAGGGTTCGCTTTCAGGGGCCACCAAGAACAAAAGAAATGTTTTGGTGCGAGTTCATCACTGTACATTTGCGACTGGTTTTATAAAGACAGAAAAAGCTATTCCATAAAAAGTGAATACAATTTCAAACCAAAGGAAGGAAGGATTTTTTTGGCCATCTTGAAGCTGTCCAAGTGCTATAATTGGCCTCAGGGCCAGTGTTTGGACAACACTGCTCTTGTGAAGTTGTTTTGTAGCATCCTGGTTCCTGTGTTTTGCATATTTGTTTTTATCTTTTTGAGACATCAGGGTACCTTTAGAATTATCTCAGCGACAGCCACCATGTCAGTTATAAAGCATTTATACATTAGTAATCAATCTTGGGAGACCTGGCTTTGTATTGCTGCTTATTTTAATTTGAATACCTGGAGAAAACACTAGAATTTACATTTACAGGGGGTTTAAGTAGTATTTAGTGAGCATTGGTAAATATTTGACTGAACATTTAAATCATAATGTGATTTGAAGGTTAAATGTTTTCTTTTTCACTCTGTCCAGGATCGATGTTTGGCAGCTCTGGTTCGGGTGGAGAAGACAGAATTCCTGTCTCCTGTCTTCATCGGTGAGGTTGCCCATGTGACAGCTGAGATCACCTTCACCTCCAAACACTCACTGGAGGTGCACATCAAAGTCATGGCCGAGAACATCATCACAGGTGAGTCTCATTGGTTTTTAATACTTGCTGTAACATCTTATTATTAAAGTGGAGTTGACTTTTTGGTTGTGAATTTAGAATGCAGTTGTAAATGATGCACATAAGATGAACTATTACTTATACTATACTCGAAATGTGTGGGTTAAAATCCAGGCGTCAATGTCTTCAAAAACAATGTCAACTCCACTGCCGTAGAGAACTAACATTTTACACAAAAACGCCTATGCTCAATGCACTGTTCATTAATGCGTTGTTCAGGGCGCCATCTTCTGGTAAAGTGCAGAATATCGTCCAAAATGCACTCTTTTTATTCCCATCAATTTGAGTTCACCTTGACCTGCAATGTTTCTGTCGTGCTTTTTGTGATTTTTTTCCAAATTTAATCCTTTTAAATTCCTTAATGTAAACTATTTTATGTGAGTAAATAATAAAACTAATCTGATATATTGCACTTTGAACAATAGAGGGCAGCACAAAATAAGAATTGCCTCTGGTAGATCAAGTCAAAACCCAAAGCTGTTTTGGTTTCATGTATATGTATATATGTATATGTATATATATATATATATATATATATATGTACACACACACACACACACATATATATATACACACATATATATTTTAGTTTGTACATATTTCATTTGATAATGCATGCAGCCATGAACTGACGGTGTCGTCATGTACTCTGTTGTGGATCCCTTGCGTGAAGGCAGTGGCAGGATCACATTGGGCCGACATAGCATTGTCAGTGAACCTTTAAATGCCAGTGGCAACAATGATGAAACCAGCAAATGTCATGTGTTGACCGCAGTGCAGCTGCGAGGCAACGCAAGGTGGAAGTGAAGAGGTCCAATCCCACTAATCCATGTATGCAGCCATAAGAAAACATGTCATGGAAGTCCTGATAATTACTGCTTTTAAACAGTTTTGTCATCAAGTGAATAGAATTGTAAATCTATGTGTAAACTCACCGTGTGATTGCCGTGACCATTTACAGAGGTTAAAAGTGACACAGACCAGAAAGAGTGAGAGAGGGAGAGAGACAAAGGGAGTCATGAAGAGAAATGTACATTTATGTCAATAGATAAAAAGAGGGAGCTGAAAGAAAGAAGGGAGAATGAAGGAAAGGAGGTGTAAGAAACAAAGGATGTATCCCCCTGACAGCCGTTGCCCTGGCAACAGGCTTATACTGGTTGGTTGGCTGGCTGGTTGGTTGCTAGGTTGGAAGCGGGTTGATGGAGGCAGAGGCACTGATATAAGATGACAGGTGGAGGGCTGTGTATGTACATACAGGCATCGTCACAGGCACCAAGGACAGACCAAGGCCCTGCCAGGGAGGACCCCAACCAGGAAGAGAACAGAGTGTCTTCAGCATCCATAAATTCTGCCTTTTGGGTGAACGTGACAGAAATGGAACATTTTGAGAATTAACTCAAAGAAGTGTTTCAAGTTTCTCTAAAACCCTTATTTATCAGGCAGTGGAATGAAAGTGCTTTCACTGAACAACTTTCATTCTTTTTGTCAAACATACTTTTAGGGAAACATTAAGAAATGTGGGCCAGATACAGCACGTTGGCTTTTTGAATCCAGCCGGTGGAACGCTGGTACAAGCTATGGTAAAGACTGATGTCAATCCTTCTGTTTCATATGCCTAACAATGACTCAACTGTAATTTCTGTTGATGTCACTAGATGGTGGCAGCCAATTTGTTTTTGAAATTTTAGGTTTATTTTTGTACATTTTATAATATATCAAAAATTTACCCACCAGGTTTATTCTCTCTGGACTTTCTCCTGGGTCTGAATGTAGTTCAAACTGGTAACTGAACTGCAGTTTGTTCTATTATGGGTCAAAAGTTGTGTGCAAAGAATCCAACCAGGAAGTAGCATAAAATTTATTTTTTAATAGTGCACACAGCTACACTATGTACATACTGTAGTATCTGAGTAACCCATTCACTGTACAGCCCAATTACATCAATGGACTCTGTGGTCGCAATTCATTGTGTCAAAATTAAAGGCAGAAACATATCGAGCCTCTGTTCCAATGTCCCCAGCAGTGTGCAGAGTGAGTGGATGAGATTATGTCCTGAGGTCAGACACACTCAGGCAGCTCTGACATTAAAGGAGAGCCAGAGGAGGCTGCAGCTCCGTGGTCCATTAGTTCATAGCTATAGGATGTAGGTCGTGTGTGAGAAAATGTATGCATGTCCAAGTGAGTTCATACAGCTGTCACATATAAGTAAACCTGGAACTGTATGGATTTTCATGTTTTTTTATTTATGTTTTAATATGAGAAGAACACAAGTTCATTTGTCAAATCTAAGCAGGTTGACAAATGTGCACTCTTTTGCTTTATTAATGTGTATATAAGGTGTATATAATATGTCGACATTGAGGACAGAGTATTTATTGTTCAGATGTATGTGGTTGCATGGATATTATGTGTGTTTTTCTCCATGTTGGCCCTTTAAAAGGTTCCTACAGGGCGGAGGGGAAGAGAAGATAACAGGAGCAGACATTATTTGCTTCTGTCATGTTGGGTTAGCATCAGCTCTCACACTCTGTGGTCCAGTCAGATACAAACGCTGCATGGATTTACCTGCACACATGCTCTGAGACAACACACTGATGCACATTTTCCATGTCCACTCCTGAACATAAAAAGTCACTTTATGATTATGAAAAGAAACCCCAACTTTTTATATATATATGTGTCTGTAATGCTACTGTGGGTCATTTAGTATATTGCGAGGACAATTTAATTATCCTGACTAATAATAAAACAACACAATAATAAAATAAAACAATAATTCAATGATCATAATAATAATACAAACATCTGAGTTAATCTGTAGTGAATTGTTGTCAGTGTTAATACGAGGTGTTATGAGCCCTACTTCTCAATCTTTGGCCTGAATTTTAAATTCTTTAATTATAAATTAAATGTATTTTTTCTTATTTTTGCTACTAACAATATCTGATTTGTAAACCTTCAACACTATGAGAGCCTGGCCAGACTTTTAAAATAACTATTTCTACATTGCTAAAGGAAATATTAGTTGTTAATGCTTGGAGAGGCTGCAGGGGATTATACATTTGGATTATTTTGTTATCTTTTGCTGATGTAGAGTAAGCAGCGGACAATTTTTCTTTTTTTTTCTAGAGGCATTTAAGAAAAAATAATTCCATTACCCTAAGTTCTCACTCATTTACCATCGAAGCATAGATAAATGCATGCTGCCACAGACGCAGAAATAAAACGAAAACAGACTTTTTTTCCAAAGTGTGTTTAGAAAGGTGGCAGGAGCAGCAGAGGTTTTTATCATGACACCAAATAATTAGAGGAAGACTTGCATGTAAGTGACCATGGCTGTTGACTCTAAGGGCACTTTGTATTCAATCATTCATCTCTGCCTTCATCCATTCATGGTTTATGCACTCTCCCTCCCCGACCCTTCCACTCCCTCTCCTTCTTTCCCTCTTTTCTGTAGATAAAGGGGGCGGAGGCAAACATTCAGGTTCTACAGTTAGTCAGAGAGCATCTCGTCAGGCTGTCCTCAGTCACGGCCCCCCCAGGGGAGGCTGCCTTCTCTGGGCACGGGCTGTAATGATTGTGTCCCTGCTCGGGGGGATTGCACATGCGCATCGTTATTACTGCACATGCGCAGTCATGCAAACCGACACACAGAAGATTTGAATTTATCCAACCATGTGCAAAGATGCATGTTAATGCACACACACACACATATATATATACGTATATATATTTAAATATAAACAGTACACAGTTATATAAACACACACAGCACAGGCAACTATCCAGGCTAATATGCAGCCATATGCAAAAGCACATGCACAAAAAAATGCGAACTTTTCAAATATGCTTTGAATATGTTACAAAACAAACGCACCACATGTACGACTCTGTCAAACAACTCTCTCAGGTTCAATTCCCACACAGGTCGTAATGCTTGTATTCCATGCACACTCAGGCACACATTTGCATGAACACAGCATGAGTGCATCGTGCACTTTACACAGACTCTCTCTCTCTCTCACACACACACACACAACAATGCATTGTGGGATGAGGCTTAAAATAATCATGACAGTTCAACCATGATCCTGTTGGACCATGTGCTGAAACCCTACTGGGTGAATGTACACCAGAGAACTTACTACCAAATAAAAGAATAAATTGTTGTGTAGACTATGAAATTGAAATAAGAATAGGAAAAGATCTTAAAGATCTTTTTTTTTTTTTGGCTCGCCGGTATATGGTTAAAGAACGCTTGGTCACAAACTTCACCCCAGGCCAGACTTCATTTATTCCCATCAGGCTGTAACATCCCACAGTGCAACTGTAATGTAGTTAAAACTAATGAAGCCTTGGCTCGACTCAATGGAAAATGTGGTTGTGATGATGAGGGATGAAACACTGAGTATGAATCTCGCTGCTTTGTCTCTGAGCCTGGAACATGCAGTTCAGGAAGAAGATGAGAAGGGAAAGAAGGACGGAGAAATGGAATGAAGAGTTGTGGTTTCTCAGACTAAGGGCAGAGCAGCAGGTGAAGGAGCAAAAACCAGCAATAAATCAAGATAAAGCACTGGAGGGGAAATAAATGCATGAGTTGAACAGGAGAAGGTTGGTGCTAAAAGGAGGAAGGACAAGAACGGATAGAACTGTAACAGTATAGATCAGTGAGGACAGAGGTTCGGGACACTTTTTAAAAATGCAAATAAATTAAGTTGGTGGCGCACGACCCCCACTAAAGCACTAACCATTCTTCAACTAGGTGGGACATTTGGAGTCTATTTTAATGAAACCTAAGATCTGATCTTGGATCAGGTCTCAGGTGGTGTCTGTTCCCAAATCCCCCATTTTTACTGTGTACTTTACACACTTTGTACATTTGTTCCTATTAAAGGTGTTAAATTACAAGTCTATACATCATCATTTCTGCTCTTTCTAAAAGGNGGTGAGAGTGTTAAAGACGTTGGTCTCACTTCAGTGCACTGGCCCTGTAATGCCTTTCATCTGTGCCTCCCTTGTTTGCCATAATAACACAACCTGAAAATAGCCTCATATGTGTCTCTGTGAGGGAATTAAGTGAAAAAGTGTGGGCAGAACTGAGCAGCTATCACTATGACAACCTCTCCGACTGACTGCTTCACGATGAGATCTCCGCAAGTTTCCTCCTTCGCCTTTTATGATTCTTGCACTAACTTTTTAAATAGAATCCAAGAGAAGAAGAGACAAACAACAATCAGCTAAAGCGGTGTAATCTATGAAGACAGAAATGTGAACCATGTAAGACTAGTTCAAGGTGGGTTTTCACAGTCAGTGGGTTTATTAGTGGCTCTACAGGGGATAGTAACAGTTAAATAGCACAATAATAAAAAGAAAAACTCTTCAAACCCCAATAATCAACATTCTGAACCAGACCTGTTTACTTACTGGTTATTTTGTTCTCTAACACTGCAGTAAATATTCAGATGATCCTTTCATTATGTTCACAATATAAAAATGCTGACATTAAATTATCAGCAGACCACCAGGAGGACTTCTGGAGAAAGTAGGTTTGAACAGACATTAATCACTGTCCTGGAACATGACTGTTGTCCTTATTTGTACTCTGTTCATTTGTTTGTGAGTCTGGCCTCGTGTACTTGTACTGGTTCGTGGTGTTATGTTCATAAAAGGTCTTGTTTTGACACATTTATTTTGAATAGTTTGCATCCTGTTCTTCTTTGTTTATAGGCCACGTCTGATCTGGACAGGTTTACAGTCACCAAACTTAAATAGTAAAATGTGTCATGTTGTTAGAGAAACTGTTCAAAATCTCACTGACGTTTTCAGCCCTTAACCAAGGCTCTGTGTCTGCAGGTGCCAAGAAAATGGCCAGCAGGGCGGTGCTGTGGTACGTCCCCTTTTCTCTGCAGAATGTAGAAAAGATTATGGAGGTGCCACCTATCGAGGTACAGGGGTTCTGATCTTATCAACATTAATGTGACATCTGTCTCTATCTAAAATTATTTTTGTCTTCACACCTGTAAACATCTCATGTTCTTGTTGTGCTCGCAGTATTCCAGTGCAGAGCAAGAGGAAGAGGGCAAGAAGCGTTACGAAGCCCAGAAAATGGAGAGACTGGAAACCAAAATGTTGACTGAAGAAATAGTTTCCTCTCCGCCAAACCCAGGTGCATTTATACATTGATTAAAAAACCTGTCAAACGTCTAAATGTATGGATCGATGATTCATGATTATAACATGCAGTTCCCCGTTTTAACCACATGTCTACAAAACAGTATTTATGGGGTGGCGCTGTTTCACCAGAGATTGAAGGAACAACGGCAAATAAGTTTTGTTTTCGTTTGTATGGCTGCTCTACAGAACAGCACACGGTGGCCTTCAGTCAGTCCAGTCTGATCCAGTTGGTGGGACCTTCTGAATGCACTCTACATGACTACATTAGTGGAGGTGAGTCCTACTTTTCTCCAGATAGCATTTCTACTTTAATGCTGGACTTTTACCATACTCAGGTTGGGACGCTTCACTCTAATGTGTCTGTTAGGGAAAATTAAAATTATTTACAAGCGGCAACACTTACTGTGGCATTGTTCAACAATAAAATACACCATTTTTCACTCCCTCAAAATACACTTGGCTGTTAGGTATTGTATATTATATATACCATACACTGTATGTATATAATATTATTTGCAACCAGGACTATTTTTATGTTGTTACGCAATATATTGTAAAATATGGTGTAGAAGCCTGGGATTGAACCCTAGACCTGCTCAAAGTCACAATCCCCAAATCCTAATAATAAAAATATACAGTTTATATACACTGTTTATGTAATTATATTCATGACTTTTTTTACTCCTTTTTTGAAGATTTGACAAAATAAAAAAGTACTAAAATTTAGACAAAAATAGTTACAACTTTTTCATAAAATAGTTAACCCAACTGGTTGATAATAGTTCATAGCTAAAATTTGGGTAAAAGTTTAGCAATATTTAAAAAATACTGTAAAACATGGCAGTTGTGTTTATTATGCAGTCTTCAGTGCTTCAATGACAGGGTTCCTCTGAGTTTTATAGCCCTGGGCTTCAACCCCCAGACTCTGCATCAGAACACTGTGTCCCATGGTGACAAAGCAGAGTCAGAGGAGAAGACGCGCAGCTAAATTTAATCTTAGGAGAAAGATCGTCATTGCCACAAGAGCTGAACAGATCACTGCTGTAAAATGTGTTTTAGGTCATTTATTGTCTTTGTCAGTAAATGCAGCAGCACTTTGTACTGCAGTGAGAGGCTGTTCTGTGGTTCAGTATGGAAATAGACGTAGTTTTCTGTACCTTGTACTGAGAGCAGTCTGAGCTGGTTATGACTCCACGCCAACTACTGTTCAGTATGTGCTTTAACTGTGAAATAATAGGCCTTAATTATTTATTATTTATATAATTAACAGTCACCTGTTCTAAAAAAATAAAAAAATAAAAACAAAATTATAATTGAGTAGTTTTGAAAAATGAGCCAAAACACAGAACATTAGATTATCAAAAATAATCCATGGAGGCAGAAACACACCTGTTTAAAAAGTTATTTTGTACCATGATGAAAAGAAGGCATAAATATATATTTAAAATAAACCATTGCCCAACAAACCTTTTTCCAAATACATATCTAGAGGCTCTTCTGTTAAACATTCTGCGTCCTGTTTTCAAGACGACGGCATATACTGTAAATACAGGTATTCTTGTTGTATTTTCAGCTTTTGCAAGCAGAGTCTGGTAATGATCTGGCAACCGAAAATACAAATTCTCATTAAAACAAATAAATCTGTAACACACAACAGATGCTTGTTATCTTTCACCGGTGTATCTGGCAGAAAATTCCTGCCAGAAGGAGAAAGAACAGGGAGGAAGGAGAAAAGGAAGGAGGGAGGGAGGAGATGAGAGTGACTTATAAATGTGACACAGAGCCTTGGTTGGCTTTATAATTTGAAGAAGTCAGTCAGAAATCTGTCCAATTAAACTTCAATGTGGAACAAGCGTGCAGGTCATTTAGAGCACGGCCCCACACACACACACACGAACACACACACCTGCATTCACAGAGGTTCTCTCTACATGCCATTGCTCATTAGGCTGTTGTTCCCTGTTGTTTGCTGCTGACGTTGTGACAACACGTATTTGGTTTACATAACCAAGTCAGGTCAGGATACCCGGGTCTCTCTCTCTCTCTCTCTCTCTCTCTCTTTCTCCTTTTCGTCCTCTGACTACTGTGGTTATTTTTGCGTTGTCGAAAAATTGAAATAATATTTATGAAGTAAATCCTATGACCCACATGCACCTGAACTGCTGACTCCCCGCCCTGAAACAAAAAAAGATCAAACTATGTTTTTAGGTTAATTTGTTATTTTCAGGTCAGGTTTTATTCAGTTCTAAAAAAGTAACATGTCTGACAACAGAGAGAGGGCCAGTGTCGGCGTCAGTTTTCACTTTAGAGTCCACATAAATGTCCCCATACGTGCAGTTACACCAGGAACAAACACAGACGTGCACTTAAAGAACCCCTCAGTATTTAGATGAGGGAATCTTGACAGACAGCAGACGGTTTAATGGCAGAGCTGAAATGAGACAACTCATCCAGACAGTGATTTGCCAACCAATTATACTCCTCATACTAATGCAATTACACTTGTGACACATAAATCCTGTATCATTAATCTATTTGTTTCAGATTGATTTGACAGTTATGCTGGATGATGTTTTATTCTAGTCGTGTTATCAAACCTATTTCTGGAGCAGCTCGTCTTTTTTTTTCCTCACTTAAATGATGCACAACCTGTTCGAGATGATGATGACCCACAATGCACCATGTTTACATCAGACATTATAGTTACTTTATTTTTAGGGGTCCTTACAGCAATGTGACATTAGTGATCCCCAGGAAAAGGAAAGTCTATAAACACGGAGCAGATGTTGTGAGATCAGGGACTGTGATTGTATCAGTGCAGTTGAATCATATTCTCAACATGTGTGGAAATGGTCCGGGAGAAGATCAAAGAATCAATATGATCAAAAGGATCAAAAAGTCATTATTTCATGCTCTTTCTTCTTCTCTTTCTCTCCAAGTTCTCCCTCACTCCATCTCTCCTTTATGTTCTGATGAAGTGTACTACCTGTTGCCATAGAAACAGCTGCTGATTGCCACAGGTGGACATCACAACGGCAATCAGATTAAAATGGAGAAAAAGGCTAAAATAACAGGAACAATTTTTTTGTATCAGACCTTCAACAAACATGAGTAATTATGTAGTAGTTATAGTATCATAATACAAAAACACCAGAAATACATTGACATAAATATCCACAGCTTGAAATATAGTAGTATAGTAGGACATAGTAGCATAGTATTTTTATACACATCCTCATTAGCCTGTGAAGTCCAATCCACGTTTAAACCTGGATTTTGGAGCTATTTTTCACAGTGTAAGAGTTTCTTAAAAAAATCTAAAAATCTTTTTGAGGAGCACAACGTCGTACAGTCTTGGTGTAGCAGCGTCACTGAGCTGCCATTCATTCTGTAAATTAGGATGTGAGTATTTCCGTAAAGAAGTGAGGTGGGTGTGTTCCTGGGAAAGACAAATGACTCCAGTCAGCGTGGCTCAACCTTTCAACCAAGGAACACAGTGACATTTCAGAGGAGAGTTCTCTTTCTCACAGAAAACACAGCTAAAAACACAGGTATAGTGACCTGAGTGTTTAGCCTAGGTACGAATCTCTTAGCTTTAAAAAAAAAAAGAAATCTCATAATTAAACACCAGGGACAACGATGCACATTTGTAAAACTCATCTTCCTCAGCTGATGACCTTTACCATCAAACTGAGGCGTGTCTTATGTGAAAGCCGTCCATCTGATAGAATATCCACCACGGACATGTTATCGTATTAATTTGACCAGGCCTGCATTGAGTTAATAGTTTGCCAACGGTTCAGATGGCACTGACCCCAATTTGCTGAAATTAGAATGGACGGCTGGTAAAGACGAATAAAGGTCAATGGGAACTACACTGGTTGTTTGTGCATCAAGAGAAAGTACTAAGGTATGAGGAAGTCAGATCGGTGCTGTTAGGATGGTGCAGGATGTGTATGAAGACAGAAAGCTTTGTGCAGTCAAATGGACAGATGGGTTCGTGGTAGGATGGTCTACTTTATAGCACAGGTTTCAGCCTATTGTCGTTTGAAGTGGTGATGAAAAGGCAGTGGTCTTTGTTGAACATGAGTTTGTCAGATGATGGAGATGTGAAGGTCTGTGGTGGAGAGAATAGGTATGAAGATCAGACAAAGCATGAAAAACGGAATATTTTTGTAAAAGGTAACGAGGGTAAGAAGGTAATGCAAATGACAGTGATGGTAAAAATGCAAAGGTGAAGAAGAAAATAACAAAGAAAATAATCCCGAGGCTGTAGGGGGCGACGGAAAGACAGAGATGAAGAGAAGTTGTGCGCTTTGTTTAATGAAGAATGCTGCAGCTGGAATGGTAAATGCACGAACCATCTGCAGTGGACTTTGTTAGAAGATGTGGGCGGGCTGCAGCGTAGCAGTAACGTTGACGGGCGCTGTTTCTATAGTAACGGCTCATTAGGAGGCAGTTTGAGCCGTTTGATACTGTCCGTGATTAAAGCTCACGTTGGGGGGTGGGGGGTATAGAACTGTCAGCGGTGGATAAAAGGAGGCAGAGGGCAAGAGGAGGGATGAGAGTGAAGACACCGAGATAGAGACGCAGGAAGTGATAAGATAACAAAGGACAGGCAGAGGTCACCGATTTCGCTGCTGTCAGTTTTCTGCAGTTCCAGTCTCTGTTCTTTTTATACCTCAACAGATGTGTTGTTGTGTCAAAGTTATCTGTTTAAAAAAAGGCTTGAAGTTAGTAAACAGAGTTGATCAGTGACCAGAGCTGCCCAGAAAAGCCTTCAATTGAGTTTCCTGTGTCCGCTGCTGCCAAAGGACGACACTGCATGGCAAGAATTTTGGTAAATGGTCACATAGAATCTCATCAGAGACAAATTTTGCCCCACAGCAAACTGGGCTGCTCTGTGAACTTTGTTACTAATTGTTCTTTTTCTCTATTTGGGCAGAGCTTTCTTTTGTTCCTTCACACACACACACACACACACACACACCAGATAAACCCGTAGCCCATCCCCCTCCTCATTCCCACACCCTGCCTTTCGTGTTCCCACCCTGCAGCTAAGGGAGAGTCAGAGTGCACCATGTCACCCTGTGAATGTGTAACTCCAGGCCCAGGGCCGCCCCGGTCTGGCTTGTCCTCATTTTCCTCCCTCTTATTGAGCTTTACTCCATCCTTTTACACCAACTGTACGGGGAGAGGAGATGGGTCTGAGTTAGTGCTGGCTGCTGATGTTATGGTAAAGGCTCGTTTCTACAGTTTTGCTCATAGGACCTTGTGTGATTTAATGGGTGCAAAAAGCAGGTCGTTATTGTACCATATATCACACATGACATGATGATGTCATCCACATAGAGTTTGAGTGTTAAATTCACATGAGCTGCCAGAGGAAACCAAGAGCGCTCAAACTAATGTTGACAATTATTTATCCAAAGAAAATGGGTAATGTCCAAAGGTGGGTGTTCAACCAGCAGCTGTGACAGTTAAATGGTAATCAACATTGAATCCTCCTATTCTGATTATTACACATACTGTACACTTCCTTCCTCTACAGTGTACAAAGTGAACTGTTAAGTGTTTCTATTTCTATCTTAAAGCTGCACTTAACCATACTGTTGGTATATTAAACAGACAGTTCCTGTCAGCTCTGAAATCATAAACTAACTGGCAGTTATTTCTTTTTCTTTTTCCATTCATCCACTTACTTACCTGGAAATCCTCTCAGGTAGTTCGGTAAAGTGAATAGTTTGAGCTAAGTGCTGTAATTATCGCCCCAACATCCCATCTCATTTTCTCAAAGCATCTGGAGAGCTGCACCTACTGGGAGCTAGGAAACAACAGCCGACTCCTGCTCTTACAGCTCCGCTCAATCTTCATTGAGCATCATTTAACATTCAAAAGTGACTCAGACCAAAACATCCATTAGTGTTGCTGTCAAAGTCATTTTATTTAAAATGCCAAAGTCCTACATTCATAACTGTTCCCCTTCGGTGATTTACTTCCTGTCCTACTGGGAACCAATCACATCCTGTGGATCACTGTATTCTGGTCAGAACCCTTCAGCCAAAAAATGTCTTCACTTAGATGTAACTGAATATCAATGAGTAGTATGTATTAAATACGCAGTATTACCGTTACTGTTGGGTGAAGTTAAATGATTTTGTTGTAACTGGCAAAGGATTTATTATTTTTATGGCTTAATGTCAGGATAGTGATTTCTCATTTGGATAAATTCCTGAACCTGCCTTATTGACAATATACCATGATGACATTTAGCTAACCACGTGGCTAACATGTAGCTCTAATTGGTAATGTATTCGCTAACATTTAGCTATTATTGAGATCTATATCGTGATCTTTCATCTTATATATTTTCAGATTGAATCATACCTTTAGTCTCACGGCCTTATACTGTTTTAAGAGAACATTTATCAGTGATCTAAATATAGTGTAATATAAATAATCTATAATCAAATCACCTAAATATGACAGTGTTAAGGTACGTCCATATTTGACCAAACCTAAAGAATTCCACCAAGGACATCTCTGTGGGTGTCCACTGTAACAGAATCTCTCAGTTCCATCAACTTGTCAGGTCTTGATTGCTCTTCCATTGAGCACTTCATGCTCAGACACAACCACTCGTGGCTTTGAATGGCTGCAGCACATTGTGCCTCATACCCAGGGGGAAAATATCAATCAGAGCTGAGATCCATCAATTTCCACCGTCTAGTAGAAATAGGGAAAAAGATGATGGCTTTTATAAATGGTCTAACAGCAGGTTGTGAGTGAGTGACATTTTTTTTAAACTCATCCTTTTACATTTGAACTTAACACACTTATCACATAAGCCTCAACAATTTTTCGAGCATTTATATTTTCATTTTTCAATCATTCATTTACTGGTTGTTTTTTTTCTGTCTGAACCAGATAAAACTGAGATCACGGTGTGGTGCTGTGTCTGAGACGTAATCGACAATAGACTAGATGTCCAGACCCACCTTTAGTGCACTGCTATGATGAATGTGCTCAGAGAACTTGTCTGAAGTAGGTAATCAAACATTAATCACTGATGCCGTACCAAGGGCAAACACTGGCGTTTGAAAAATGATTTTGACAAATATTTCAATCAGAACATCTCAGTACTGCCAAGACTTCATTTTAAGTTGCTGTTGGAAATCCTCTCCTCAGAGTAGTGAACGGAAAAAGACAAACAAACACACAGGACATAATCCAATGGCTAACAAAACAAAAACCTCAATTTTTGTGTTTCTGTTATGACCGTGATGGCGTCCTACTGCACTGTAGTGTTTAAACATAAGGCAGGTGGACAACAAGGAGACGCACCGTTTTATTAAAATCAAATTCTCTAATAAAAATAACAATGATAACATTTTTGAAAACTTTGTTCAAATGGTTCACTTTTATAAGACGTGCTGCGTTTGGGAACATTGAGCACATTCTGTTTGTACTCCCACTCTTTTGGCTGAAATAAACAGAGATGATGGAGTGAGCCATGGGGCCACAGTGAGCAGACGTATTGTCCTCTGTAGTATCAGGACTGAGGCTGCTGTGATGTCAGTAAAAGATATGAGTATCTCACAGATGTGTTGTTGTTAACATCATCAGTGGAACAAACAAAATCAAATCAAATTGTGTAAATAGCCAACAAAACAGTCAAACTTCTCTTCGTGTGGGACTAGGCCAAAAAAAAGAATTCCAACAATAATCGCTTCCTTTAAAACGACTTCAGAGATTAATGACTTGTCAACGCTGGCAGAAAGTCATTCAACATCCTGTTGTCGATCCTATCACATGATGTGAATGTTAATAAAGTCAAAGTTTTTCCTTTTCATCTGACGCAGGTGTCACCATGAAACTAATGGATGAGGTTGCCGGCATAGTCGCGGCTCGTCACTGCAAAACCAACATTGTCACTGCCTCGGTGGATGCTGTCAACTTCCAGAAGAAGATTAAGAAAGGTGAGGTGAACAACGGTCGTTTGTTGTGCATATACAACACTAATGTTGTACAAACATTATACAGACATAACCACGGATGTACGCAGTAGTGATAGGCCCAACAAACACTGTCATATGTTGGCCAATACAATTTGTAAAAAAATATTCCTAAGACATTTGATATGGATTTGTACACCAACTCGTCAATCTTGCCTGTGAAATAGGAAGCTTTGATGTGACATGAAAATATGCTGCCATTTTTGTACCTGTGAAATGCTCAGCAGTTTCAAACGGAACTCCTTAAACCTGACAAACTACTGTTAACAGCAGTCGTTCTGTTGAAGACCAGATGTAGTGTCTGGTTATGCTGCAAAAAAAAACAAAAAAAACAAAAACATCATTATTTTCCAGTGAATAGCTTTGTTTCTTGTCCGTTTTTAGGAGCGAGAGGGAGTGAACGTCTGATGTCTGAGTCTGGTTCTATTGTTTTTCCTTTCATTGTGTTTTGATGTGCAGCACAACATGTTTATTCTCTGCACCGGAGCGTACAGAAGAAACACTGAAGAGCTTTTATGTAAAAGAAACACTGTGTTACTGGATTCATTTGCAGCAGTTTGGACGTCACACAAGTACTTTAAGGACAGTTACTGTAAAGACTCTCTAACGAATGCATACACTCGCTTCAGTTACTATAGTGGGTCGTTTCAATATAAACATGCCGATTGGGAGTGAAAACAGTCTCTCAAATGTGGTGAGGATCAACGTGTGGCCCGTGCATTAAAAAGCCTTTTCCGCGTTCCATGTTTGTGCTGTCAGCTAACAGGCTGCACATGAGGTGCTCCAGACGTCCAAATGTTATGATTAGCTCAGGATATGAGGATAACCACAGACTGGCTGCAGCTCTTCTGTTATTGAAATATGAATCGGTTAGAAAGTCTTATTTTTGTGAAAGCAGCTGCCAGGTCAGAGATCATGTATTTAAAATCTATTTTAAAACCAACCGCCTCAAAATGATCAAATTAGAACATCAGCCAGGTTGTCTGTATATGCACAACCAACAGTTACCTCCACACCATACAGTTTTAAGGAAGCAGCTGTGGATCTTTATTATGATTATAATCTAATTATAGCCGCTATCAATCTTAGAAATTCACTAATGTAGAAATAATTTAAAATGTAGTTTCAAAATTAAAGATGGGACAAAGTGACCCATGTTTAGTAAATTCATATTTTGTAATACTAATTCCTTTAGAGTTTTCCTTTAGAGAGGTCGTAAACACAGTCTGATGACTGCACTTACAAAACTCTAAAAATCCACACTTCACACCTTTCATGTGGTTCTTGCATCAGTAACGTGTTCTTTATAAGATCTTGGTCAAGTATTAATCCTTCTCAGGATAACACCTTGTGTCACTGTTTCTATAGCAACAGATTCAAAAATAACTCAGTACTGACTTGAGAAAAGAGAAGACAGAAAGTTATTATCAGTGGCAGTGGGAAAATGACGTGACTTTTCCCTTTAAATCCCTGCAGCGACAAATGGACAGTGAGCAGTGATCTGTGATGAGGGAAACATTCAAAGACAGAGTATCAAAATACTTGTCACAATACTGCAGGAAAGTCAGATAAATACAGTATATTACAGAAAACATTTTTTTTCATAAACTGGTATTAGAAATATATATTGGTTTCCTGAGTTGCATCTTTGTGTATCGTGCTGATATTTTGTCCCTGCTGCTGATTGTTTATTCATTCACTTCTTGAATAAACATCTGGTTTTTAAGCCATCTGTTGCTTCATGTACAGTACCACTACTGACCAGCAGGGGCTCTCTTAGTAATTACATTTTCTTCCTTTCCATCTGATATAAATTTCATATTTAAAATGTCACAAAAGGCCATATTTAACTATTGTTGAAATTAGAAATCTTCTGGGGAACAAGGAACTCAAAGACTCTGACACTGTTTATTAACCTGTGATTCACCAGCCATTCACAATGTTTTACCGTGGCTGCTTGAGCACGAGTTGACCCTTTCATTAAAAGGTGCCACTGCTTATTACATACAAAAACAAATGTGGGAAATCCTTTCTCTTTATATCTAGTTTTACAAGATGAAAAAACTCATAATTCCCTTTTCTTTGTACTTATATTTTTTTTTTCATTCCTTTTCAAGGTTCTGTGGTGACAGTCACAGGCCGTCTCACATTTGTCAGCAACAAGTCCATGGAAATCGAAGTGGTGGTTGATGCAACTTCACTGCTGGAGGGCGAGAAGATAAAATATCGTGCCGTCTCGGCCTACTTCACCTACATCTCCCTGGACAGGGACAACAAACCTCTCCCTGTTCCAACTCTTAAGGTTGGTACAACTGTGCTTTAAGTTATTTTAAAAATGTGTTTTTGCTTTGCTCAAATATTTATATATTTATTAGGTCAGATGAAGCTCCAGTAAATACTATACAATTATTCACAGTTTTTTTATTAAAGCACTAAGTGCCATAGTACACCTCTACACAATGTTGACGCAGCATTTAAATCACTTTTAAACCAGATTTCTTAACCAAAAAAAAACATTTTTTAGATTGTGTCATTGTGAATTGTGTCAAGAGACCTCCCAAAAATATCTACTTAGCAATACACAACAGAGAAAAGCTAGCCTCCACCAAACAGTCATGTCTTGCATTTTCTTGCAAGATATATCAGAGGCAAAAAGAGAAAATACAGGTAGATGGCAGTATCCATGCATATTTAGACACCAATTTCCCTGAAAGTGAGTGTAATACTTATGTAGGATTGTGATTCCTGAATTTACTACGTCATTTCCTGTGGTTAATAAGCTTGTTTAATCTAATCTGAAATAAAGCACTGTAAGGAGAAGAAATATATTTGAACGCACAAATACATTTTACAGAGAATGTGATCTGACCTATTGTTCCCTAAATGATACCAGACATTATTTTTAGTGTCATAATGTAAAAATAAAGCCACACTGCAATGAACACCTCTTTATTTTTAGACCAACTCGTGTAATTTATCACTGAATCGCTGACCTGGTGTCAGTGTGGTTTTACTCAGTGAATTCAATCTTGTGTTTCTCATTGTGCCGGTCGTGATGGTACTGACATCTGTGACTTTTGGAAAGGTCACATTGTGAGAGATACTGTCCTTTTACCTGACAGTTCAATCTGTTAGTGTCTCTTTATCTGTGTCTGTCTGCTTTTAAACTCTGGAGGCTAAATGCTAATGTATACCCCCTTTTTAAATTCCTCATATTTTTCCTAATGCCCTTGTTTGTCCTATTTTGGGAAGGTTTTTGATGCGTGGCTACATCTTACTCTGCGTGCCATATCATAAATGATATCTGGCTACATCTTACTCTGCGTGCCATATAAAATAAATCATATGATATCAGTGATATTATTAGCTTTTCTTGAAATCGATTGTTTGAGCTGAGTGAGCAGCCTCAGTGAAATGCGATACACAGACAGCAGGTCACTTTTCACGCTTCACTCATCCACCAGACCAGGATTGGATTTCCAAACACATATTTTCTATTACACTTCTTATGTTACAGTATCTTTCAGTTGTGAGATCTTGACCCAAACAGGGCTAGTGGTGCTAAATGTAGCGGCTCACGTAGATTAAACATTTGTCTTTTGGGTTGCACATGGTAAAGTGGTTGGTGATTTTACTGTACAGCTAAAATATCACTGCGGTGACTGATGGTTGAGCAGTGAATGGTCCCTGTTCTGGACGTTTAAGCTAACAATGTCAGTGGTTAGCTAACAATTTAGCTAAATACTCGAGCCTAGTATTTAGACAATTAGTTTTAATTGCTTAAATAGAAAAATGTTGAACAAGTTGCTAAGTCGTTACACTTGAGACAACAACGCTTGTTACACTGTAGGTGTGTTGCCATGCAGCCAAATGTCCCTGTGACCTGTTTTTACCTAAAGCCTCTTCATACACAAAATGATACACTGCCACTCAACAGAAAACTGCACAGCACTTTATAGTGTCTCTACCCGTCAGCCTTTTCTAAAGTGACTTTAGGTCTTCCCTATTTACATATAGCAACCCCCCTCTCGCCCCCCTCCCTCACCCTCTCGGTCAACGCCTGCTTCGTCCATTGTCTGCCTCCTTCTGTGAACACATTATCGTCCATTCTGTTTCCAACGAGCTGCTCGTGGCTTCAGTTTTAGAGCAGTGATGATTGGAGTCATTGTAATTTCACTGTTCACCTCGATATCTATAAAAAGAAACGCTGGAGAAAAAAAAAATCTCTGGCTGATGTTAATAATTCATCCTCAGTGCTATAAATGGAAATCTAAATGGAAATCTGAATACGGCGCTGTGCTCCAGGGGCTGTGATGCTGAATTTAAGATAAACAGGCAAGGGAATAGTTTATGTATGTGTGTGTGTGTGTCCGAGAAAGATGGATGAATCTTTTTTTTTTTTACTGGTTGAAAAGAGTGACAGGGTATCAGTGTGTGCTTCAACACATCACTGAGCAAAAAAAAATGCATGGGTTTATTTATACGAACAAATGAAATGAAGGACGACCGGAGTTCAGCGGCTGCTATTCCTGTCTTTATCGTAAATGTTTGACGCGAGTGACTCAAACTGACGATGTCGGACGTTTAAAGGCTATTCATGGCGTAGAAGTCATTCACAGATGTCAGTGTCGTAAGCAGGAAATGGGCTTCAACACATCTAAGTCTAATTAACGCCTGAGTTTTCCCTGATGGGACTGTGAGGAATGGAAATTTGAAGACGACCTTAATTATTTAACCAGATGATTATAGGTTGAACAGAGTGTGAGAAGTGTTTGACCTCTGTAGGCGTTTGAGTTTGCCTCCCCCCCCCTCCCCGCCCCCCCATAACCTTCAATGCATTAACATTATACACCAATGCCTAGCTTTTCTCTGTCATGTTTGTGATAATGTGCTCATTTGACACTGAAATAGGGTTCCATTTAATGTTCTTTCAAATGAATGTTTTTTGCAGGGCTATTTCAGGAAAAGGAAAGTAGTAAAATGTAATGACGTCACATGTTAGAAGCTGTTAGATGCCAGAGAGACGTGTCCAAACATGTCCTAGTTATTAAAGTCAGACACTTCATGGAAGTCAGAGCACCTGACCTAGAGCTTTTTCACTTATTTTTTGTGGCCTAAAAGGCAAACATTTATTGTCTTGTGGGCTGACATCTGCAGCAGAGGAAGAAGAGCTCTGGTTTGCTTTGGTTGCACTATTTTTTGATATATATATATATATATAAAAATATGGAAAAACAGTAGCCTAGATTCTGATTAGCATATAGTTAAATAACTGGTTGACATTTGTTGTGGAGTCTCTGAAGATATGAAAATCCTGCAGTGTTGTCCACGCCAAAACCGTGTCTATCCAACTGAACAGAGTCTACACTAATTCCCAGCCGTGCTCTGCTGCTAATCCACAATCTTCGCAGTCATTTTTAACCACGGGAGGAAGAGGGAGTTTGCTAATATTCCGTGTATATTCAACCTTCTAAAACTAAAATCCTGCCATTGATTACAGGTCTATAATTTCAGGCACTTAAATTATTAATCCCTAATTTGTGCATATTGTGCAATCGGTGCACTGACAATTTATGGAGCACTTGTCATCTACCACCACCCAGATACATTTGATGAGCTTGGTTCTCTTCTTTTTCTTTTACCTCTGTTCCAGCTCTCTCTAGCTCCCATATTTATAGTGCAGATTTTTTTTTCCATTTACTCCCTTTAAACACAAACATTACCCTGAAAGCTTTGAAAAAATATCTCTAACCTTTGTTTATGAAATCCCTGTGACTTTGTAGCAGATTCTGCTCCAGTTGAGTTCTATAAATAGCACATCACAAAGGACGGCCTCAGCTATTTTTGACTGCAGGTGCTTTTCCCCCCTCTCCGTCTCTCATCCTGGCTTCCTCTCAAGTGAGCCTGCTGCATTTACTATCTTTAGAATTTCCTATTTTAGCCTTATGGGGGGGTTTGGGGACTCTCTCTCCCCACTGCCCCCCCGCCCCTCCTTTTCTCCCCTCTCTCTGTATGTATGTGTGTTTGTGCGGCGGTTGTAGATGAACTGTCACTAATGTTGGCATGCTGCGGGTGATGATGAATTGGGGAAGGAGGACCGAGTGAGCAGAAGGGAGGATGTCAGGGCGGATGCTGTGTCTCTCAGCGGCAGTACCCTTGAAAAGCACAGGAATTATACATGGAGTCACTCCGGCGCATGAGTAAAAGAAATGTCTGGGAGCAGTTTGTTGTGTTAGAAGTCATTTTAGGAGTTTAGTTCTGACAAAATAATACGGACGTCACACAAGTACTTTATATAAAACACTGGCATTTTACTATATGTATTTGTCGTTTCTGCCTCTCTCACATTCACCATCACATTCTTTACTCCCCCCTTTCCTGCGTCCTTCTCCTCCCCCCATTGCTGGCCCAGGCTCAGCTGGCCTCCCTGACACGAAAACAAGCCAGGTCGCTATGGCAACATCTTGTAGTCCACATGAAGTGATGTAGATTTATTTTTAGGTGTGCTCCTGGGTCCTGTTCAAGACGAGCAGCAACAGGAACAGGTAGACCTGTGACACAGTTGCAAATATTTCCTCTTTTGACTTCAATCCACGGTGTGAGATTGTAAAAAAAATTGTTATATTATTGGAATACATATAATACGTAAATTGTTTTAAAAATATCCACAAAAAGGTTCTTTGCTGTTCCAGTTAGAAAAAACAAAACATATATATATATTTATGTCTCAGCCTTTTGACAGGAAACAGCTGATAATACATAATGATAATTAAAGAGTTTTAAGATATGGCCATAAGACATTTACCTTGGTGATAAATTAATAAATGGTCACTACATTCAGCTAAGATGACCTGGATTATAAAAAGCTAATCATTTTCTTTGTGTTTCATTTGTGGGTCAGTTATGTCATTGAGCCAAGTGGTAACCTATTAAAGTGAAGAGATTCTTCAATATTAACCTTTTCTTTGTTATTGTAAAGTTTACAATTATGCAAACCACAAACACTAATATGTTTGTTATATTTATTTACAGTGCAGAACAAAATCATGGCTCAATATGAGGGTCATTGAACATGTGTGAAGAATCTGAAAGCATGTTTTCATCAGATTCATCAGGTTCGTCGTTCTGAAACATCGACTGTAGATGTTTTTATACCAGACCGCTGCTTTCGCTCCGTATCCTTGTAATTCGTGCTTGTTGCCTGCAGATTAGTGCTACTACTGAGACTGTGGCATTTGGCTCTGCCACTGATGCCCTGTGTTCCCACTCTAATAACAGCTTGTGCCAACACAGAAGAGCCCTTCTGGCATTTTGCTGGCATTACCTAAGCTGGTCTATCTTTCCTTGGCTCTATAAAACAAATCTTTGTCTCCGCTCCAGGTTTTTGCCGTTCAATTTGTCCTACTCCTTGCAACATTACACCAAGTGGACCACGGTTGTGCCAACTGAAACAGCTGTTTGTCTTGGCCGTTTGACACGGTCGGCCAAAGCTCCTACGTGTGACCGCGTTTCTGTTCCTATTAGAAAAACAGTGATATTTTATTTCTGAGATGGAGTCTTTGCCAATGTGGAACTAGTTTTGAAACAAGTTAGTTCATTAAAATAAATTGAAATAATTGGTAAGTTTTGTAAAATGTGATTTTGAAGAGAAGGTATTTTTAAATGCTTAGTCACAGATCGACGAACTCTCCTGCGTACAAAACTGAAATGTGATTAACGAGCCAAAGCCGGACATCTGTTGTCTACAATAATAATAAAATATCACAAGTCGCTGCAAAATTCTGTTGCCTGGAACACAATGGGAGTCGAAATAAACACACGCAAACACATAAAACAGGCACTGGTGGTTTGGTGTGATGTTGTGAGGATCTGCTCCAGAGAGCGACTGTGGAGTTGCTGATGATCCTCCATAATCATAGTTATTAGTCAGGAGCCATGATGGGAATACCAATTACACGGGGACACCGAAAGGACATTTGGAGCATGGCATTGAATTGTCTCGTTGAGTTATGCAAATGTGATCCACATTAGCATTAACATATGCATGTGCTGTCCTCTAAATAATGTGCTCTAAATACAAGCAAGGCATATCATTTGTGCTCACATGCACACATGTGGAGGAACATAATGGCTGTTAAGTCTTAGGTCGTGAACTCCAAACTCCAGATGTAACATTAATTACAAAATGCTCAAAGTGCTCTAAAATCCCCAGAAAAGTTTTTCAAAACTGGTCACATTTACTGTACGCAAATCCCTAAAACAACTGGGTTTAGTCTTTTTTAATCAACAAATGTATCCTTTTTTGAAATATAATAAATAACTTTGGTGACAGTACTCAGTAACAGTTGAGACAGAGAAAATGTATGAATGAAAAGATAATACAAGCAACATTCTGGGAGCTGGTTAAAAAGTGTCTGATTTGCTATAAAACACTTGGTGTTTGCATGGGATTGGGATTATAATGGAGTGTCTTGTGAATGCTAACATCCATGCTAATATCCATGCTAACATCCATGCTGAATGCTGGGAATTTTAATTGAACAAATATGCACTTAACATTTCACAACAGGAATAGAAACAGGAGACATCACTGCTCTCAAAAGCAACTACTGCTCTAAATCAGAATCCACACAGCAAACTGTCATGGACACTGAGTAATTCACTGCGACTCAACACGATCCCCAACCTCAAAACACCCTTCTTAGATTCTTTAAAGCACAGAGAACTTTGGGCCAAACTCTGAGATTCTTCATGCATCACATTGTATTATGGGATAAATCAAGATCATTGTGGCCAAAACTGTGAGAAAAACTGGGTCTGTAGACAGGCTCACACAGGGCTGAAGAAGATGTTCAAATCAGAAAGAACAAAAAGGAAAAGACATTGGTTTAAATCTGTGTCACAAAACAAACAGGGAAGAAAGTCACTAGGAAAAACACACAAAAACTGAACTCTCTGACAGACAAACAATTAAAAAAAAAAAAAAAAAAACCCCACCTCACAAACACACACATATAGTTACACACAGCCAATCAGAGCCCAGTAGACACAGGTGCAGGTAATTAGGGTGGAGCCAGTAATCACAGAGGCGGGAAACTGGAAGAGAAAAGTGAGAGCAGGTGTTTAAATGAAACAGGAAGGTTTTCTTCATGTTTACCAAAGTCACTGGAGAAACTGTGACTTCTGCAGGCACACTTTCACCTTTTCTTAAAGATGAGTCAAGCAACCAATCAATTGAATGTAGTATAAGAATATAAATAAATGAACTTGAAAGTACACTGAGAAACTGAAGTATTCAGTATCGCAGTCCTGTTTTTTTTTAAGCCTAGGTCATAAAGTTGTTGCTCGACCTTTTCCAAGTCCAAGGTTGTTTGTGCAATATCTCCAGGTTGGCTGTAGTTGTTGTTCTTTTACTGGTCAGGCAGAGAGGTCACAGAGACACATCCCCCGTCCATAACTGCTTCTTCATCAGCGGTAATCAGCCGTACAGTTCATTTTAATTGTCTCGTTCATTAAACCTTCTCAAGCTGTAAATCAATGTAGTTAGTAGAGTGTAATTTAATAACAGACAGGTCCAGACAGAGACTGAAAGATGGACCGAGGTCACTCCTTATAACAAGCTTTTAACATGGCTCCACGTTAATGGCATGTGCATGTATCTGTCTGTGTACTTCTGCAAGTACTGTACTATAATCAATGGTATCACATTGATTTTCACGTGAGCACGTACTCACAGAGGTATAAATGTTAGCATCTGTCCTCGGCGCAGCAGCTATTCTTAGAAGGACGTGTTGATTTTCTTATCGCGTTACAGTTTGTAACGAAATGGCTCTCCATCTTTAGTGACTGCAGAGAAACTGAAAATGTAACCATGCAGGGCTGCAGGCAACTCTGAACAGGTCTGATCGTTTCCTCACACATGCTGGGGCTTGACGTGACCCCAACCCAGGCAGCTACCCTGGGACACGGCGGCTCCGGCTGTGGAATTATTATCAGTCACCTTTGATGTGCTGTTGTGATGTTTCCTATGGAAGAATAAAACTAGAAGGCACTAAAACCTGTGACCTTCTGGTTAAAATAGAACAAGATGAGAGAGAACATCAAACACGCTGTAACAACAGTGTAAAAACCCGAATCTGCATCACTGAGGTGGCATTTTCACCACCTTGTACTAACCTTGTACTGTAAACAGTCACCATTACTGTACAAAAATACATAGAGACACATGCACTGAGGCGCAGATAGAAAAATCATACATTCTCCACCGGTGTCTGCATGAGGCGGTGAGCAGGTTACGCCATGAAAGTAAGATTTGACACCGTTGCTGGTTATGTTGTTTAGTTCCCACAGTTGCCAGGCAATCTAATTAAAAAACTGTGCGGTCTACAAGGAACTACCTCCCACAATTCAGTGGGCAAACTGAGCTAAGAGAAGGAGAAAGACTGGATTTGTTCCTCGTGGTTCTGAATGCACTGCTGAGGATTAAAATGAAGAAAAAAAATAAAAAGGATTAAACACAGTTCAAACGCCAAAGGAATCTGACTAAATTCATATGTCATAAAACTGCACCACAATTTGACAAAATCTGCATGGTTCAAGTTATGTGTTTTGTCTGTTTAGTTTTGTATTTATTTAAACCAGTGACAGTAACACACATTTTCTAGTCATGTTTTGTTGTCCATTTTCTTTTAAATAGGATTGGAATTTCCAAAATCTACAGTATGTTGTCCTGGTAAAGATACTGTAACCTGGCGCTGCGAGTTGAGACAATCAACCTGTAACCAAGTCTTTATTGGTGGATGTTTTACTAAATACATCGAACCTATCAGGGCTCATCAAGGGTTTAGAGTTTAAGTCAGATCATTGACTGTTCCTAAAACCAAGCATGAATCACACATAGTTGATATGACAGCAGGCACAATGACACGTGTGTCTGAAAACCAGTCGTTTGTCTTTCGGTCTCGTTCTACAGGTTGAAGGAGAGGGCGAGCAGAGACGCTTCGAAGAGGGCAAAGCACGTTACCTGCAGAATAAAGCCAAGAGAGTCACAACTAAGGAGCAGCAGTGATGATGATGATGATGATGATGATGATGATGATGATGATGATGATGGTGTCACCCCTCCACACACGTGTGCTGTATCACAGGAAGGATGTGAAGCCCCTCCCTCTCGTCCTGACCGGTATACTAGTGATCTGTTCAACATCATGTCTTGTGTCGTGTGCTTATCACCAAAGTATCCACATGTAGCTGCTCTCTCTCTGTGTGTGTAAATGTCAGAGACATATTTTAACAAAGGGAGATTTATATATGTATGAGGACTGTTAATGATAACTGTCGGTGTGATGAAAGAGACAGTCTGACTGTATGCAGGCATAAGAGAACTATTTTATTTTATTAACTTTTTCTTTAGTAAATATAAAAGCTGCAGGTCTAAAAGAAAGGGTGAAGAATATTTCATAAAACATTGGTTCACTAACTTTAGATGCAATAAAAATGTAATCTGTAGTGAACATTTTTAATGGCATAAAAGCGTTTGGTGTAAAATAAATCGAGGAACTGAAACTTACAATGCACTCCTAAAATGACAAGATAAAAAAAAAATCAGACATACTCAGAAAAAATAAGTTCTGGAGAGGCACACTTCCCAAAAGGACGACAACTTTATCGATGATCTTTAACCAGTTACAAAGACGGCTTCATTAACATACAGTAAGGACAACAAACTGTATGTTGCAAAGTACATGAAACATATGTTGTGTCAGTAAAAACATCTTTGAACATGAACATCTTTTGTGTCCTCTGGAGTGCATCAACAAAATTGAATTTAAAATTGAATAAAGGATATAAAATCCTTGAGTCTGGTTTTCTCACAGTGTTTTTTTTTTAAATAATGATGCTGATGATGTCACTGTTTTGGCCACGCCTCTATTCGATGGGCCCACTCTTCATCTTTACATCCGCGTTTCATGTAGAATTCAGTGAAGCTTAAGGGCTTTGACTCGATGCATATTTCTCCCACGCCCTCCCCCTCCTCCTGCTTCCTCTTGTTCCTCCTCAGCTCCGTCACTCTGCCTCTGGTATTTCTCTATCGGCCGTAAAAAAAAAAAAAAACTTCCTTTCCAATTTTTTCTTCAGGTTGTTGTCATGTCCTTGTCCATCTTCCCTCTCTTTCAATTTCACTTCCCTGATTTTTTCATTCCCACTGTTCGTCCCTCTGTCCTCTGGAGGCTCCTGACTCTTTTCATCTCCTTTTTGACATAAATATCATGGCCCAGTCCCATCACTGTCCTACTCTACACATCGTTGTGCTTTACACAGAGCCTAAACATGTGTGAATACTGCTCCAGATTGTGGGTCTGAATAGTGCTCCAGACTTTTCAAGGTCATGTAGTGTACTATACACGATACTAATTAAACCAGGGAAGCAAAACAGCACGGGCATCTGAAGTGAACAAATCCCTAAGTCCCTAAGTGTTTGAAAATGATTTACACTAGGGGTGGGCTAACTTTGAACCAAAATGACATCCAAAATTTCACTGATGGGCCAGGTCAGTATGGTTGGATGTAGAATGCTATGTGGAATAATATAAATAACATGTATAAGAATTAACCTAAACTTTCAAAGATAATTTGGCACATTTGATGTCTGCTGCCAATTAGTGGCATCAACAGAAGGATTGACATCAGTCGTTAACAAACGTTGTTTGGAGGAGGTTACTTTCCAGTTTGAACAGAGGCAGATTTTGTTCTGTCTCAAATCTGAAATTTGGATTTTCACCAATTGTCGATCCATAAAAATGGAAAGTTAACACACTGAATAAGTAGTGTCATAGATATGGGATAAAAAAAAACATTTTTGTCCTCCTACCTTTCTTCTGTCTCCTGTGTCCTCCTCTGTCTCACTCCGTGTTCATAAATAAATTGGGGTCAGCAGCAGCTACTGTGAAATCAATATCTATACGGACATCCAGGGACTTGGACCGCTGTAATCAATGACCTTCTCCAATAAGTCTTGCTTAATTATTTAGCAGGATCAGTTTTTCAGCTGTGTATTGGGACGACTACTAAACTCTTTATAACAGATATAGTTATTAGAAAATAAGGCAAGACTTTGGTTAAATCATCGTAGCTCGGCACAAAAAAAAGAGTTCTGCCTTCTCCCTTTCTTCCTCTCACATGCTGACAACACAGGTTCTTCATTTAATCTTGAAGGTAATTGTTTTTTTTTCCCAAGCCGACCCACTGCACAGCATGTGTGCTTTTAATTTCCCTTATGGAAATAAATGTAGTCATGTGCTGCACTGGGGGGAATAAATCTATTTTTAACCACCATTGAAAATCACTGCATCTTGTGGAAGAGGGAGGCAACAGGGAGACGGATTCCATCTCAGATGGCAAGATATGACGTCTGGAACATATGAGAGTCTTTTTGAATTCCTATTCTTACTGTATTTATTATTCTGTAGAACAGACCAAGGCAACTGGTTTTATATACATGATATAACAATAAATAACGGTCTCCTATATACAACAGCGTATAGCAATTGTTGTATTGATAACTTGATGCTAATGTGCTAATAGCTAACAATTTGAATATGAGCCCATACAAATGGGTTGAAACAGTGGGTTTGTTCATATAATGGCAGAGTGAGATGTATTTTTGTACTTGTATATCATGAGCAGAGTCTGTACTGACAAACCAGTTTCTATAACAATGTCCTTACCTTTAAATGGGATTGTGTTCTATTAAACAAACTAAACTATAAACTGTTTATTTGTATTATAGACCAATCCAGAAGCTTTGAAACCAACTTACAGTATCTACTTTGAAATACTTCATATATAGTTAGGATTCAAGACACGAATATCTTGCAGGCCCAATAGAAAACAAGAGGACACAGTACCTCATGGACCATCACTATTACCAGAAACTACAGCTCATACTATTGTTAATGCCTTTATTTCTAACCAGCTATGGTAAAATAAATACTGAGGATGAAACAGTTTGAAAGAAGTATGTCAGTATGTCAAATGCTTGCGGCGCTGCTAATGCTAAGAGAGGTAAAACAAAAAAAAACTATTTGCTCTTTGTTTTTAAAAAGTTGCTTTGTTTATATTTCCTGGAACACCTTCACAAAGAAGAGAGATGAGTCCCACATTCAACTCTCCTGTTCCTGTTTCTGGGCTCGGAGCCAGCCGGGCTATCCTTGCAGAGGAGTAGGTGACGGGCTGTACTTTGTCTCGACTGGAACCTCCTTTTTTTTGTACAGCCACAGAGGAGCTTACTGGGAGTAAGCTCTACTAAATTAGGCTGCCTGTGCCTCCGAGCCACACAGAACCACTTCACACAGGGAGGTGGGAAACAGAGGGGGCCATGGGTAAGTAGATCACAGGAGAGAACATCAGCAGGACGTTCAGAAACACCGTTAAGTATTAAACAGCTGTTGTGTTTGTACTTATGTGTGTGCAGTCGTACTTCTGTGTGTGTGTGGTGTTACGTGTACATGTGACGTGATGTGTGATCATGGAGCTGACGGTAAAAGTGGAGGGGCAGCCCGGTGCCAGTGGAGCCAGTGGGCGGGAATGCCTTCTGTTTCCTTTTACTTCCAGGTCAACAGGCATGAAGCAGAAGAAGAAAGGAGAGGAGGGATGTTGGCTTTATTTTAATAAACCATTTCCTTTTCAGGTCCAACTAATGAAGTAACTATAAAATATGTGTATATATATAACAGTGACAAAAAGACCTTTTCTCCCTGCATCTTAGTCACTGTATCAGGAGTAAAAACAATTTTCTCTGCTCATGTTTAATCTGTAGAGTTGAACAGAACTTCAATGATGAAGAGGCTCAAATGGGAATATAGTGGTTTAATGGTCCATACAACAACATTTGCTGTACACTGGTTTGCGTGGCTGCTCCATCCCATTACCTTCTAGTATGACAAGTGGTTACCAGTGGTGTAATAAATGGGGAACATTGGAAAACAAAGACTTTTGCTTTTTCCCATTCTTATCTTCTCCCCAATATGAAAGAATATTCAGAAGGAACTTGATTTCAGACAACAAAGAAGTAGGGTGTGATCTGGTGTGAAAGTAATCTCCCAGAATTCTGCAAGGAGGGAATCCATCAATGGAAACACACATTTTCAATTTGCCACCTGGAACTGCTAACTTGAACTGCTCCCTGCCAATAAAAAAATCACACTGCTTATTTATTATTTGAGTTTGCCAAGAAATTGACTTTAATTGTTTATATTTTTATTATTATGCACCCACCCACACACACGCACACACTGTTCTAGAAGAGGAAACAGAATCAGGATCATGTCACTATCCACACACTGCATGTCACGACAGAGATAAAAATGTGTGTGAGATAAGCTTCCAGTGTTTAATGCTCATTATGCAAAGAGTCGGTGTTCCCACTGCTACTGTTTTGTTGAAGTGGTTTTTAAGAGCTCTTCAGAAGTGAACTGAACTGTCTGTGTACTGGGAGCTCCCAGGTGTGGAGAACTGTAGCCGTGTTAGTGTTAGTAAGGTATAGAGCAGACCACACAGTTTATGAATGGGAAGCAGGGTCAGTGTGGATTCTCTCTAGGACCAAATATGTGTAAATATTATTTCTTCTGGTGGCAAACACACAACACTACTGTCCTTCTGTGTTTTCTCTCAATGTGTTCTTTCACTCTTTGGGTACAATCTCTGCCCTGAGGGCAGAAAACCCTTCTGACAGAAATCTCTTGGTCTTATGTAACAATTGTGTAATGTCATTGAAGAGGGTCCATCTACAGAGACATGAATCAGAGGAGGAAACACAGTCACGTGACCAATTTGTTCAGAGACAGGCTGCTTACCAATGTATTTCAACAAAGGTCAACATTTGTCATCTAAAATAATATTAATACATTTTTTGTATAAACACATTCCTATTTCATCATTCTGAAATTCTGCTTTGGTAAATGTCATGAAAAACAAACAACACCAAAACAAGAAAATAGCAAAAGAGAAAGGAAGCTGCGATAGATGGGTTCATTCACTGGCTTGTCTCAGAGGCAGGGCTCTCAAACTTGAATGAGCTTAAAAAAACAACAACAATATTTTAGAAAGGTTGTTGTTGTTTGATGTATACACTGTATAAGACAGCAGCTAATGTATTTTTTTTATTAATTCTTAAATGACTAACAAAAGCATTCAATGATTTAATGAACCAATAAAAAGAAATACATTTAAGAAATATCTTACGGACAATCACATTATTCTTTACATATAATCACTGGCCGTATGTTGTGGATTCACGGGCCTGAAGTGGTCCCAGAGCCAGGAGTTTGACTGCCCTGTCTTAGAGCAAGGGTTCAGATTTTTTAAGGCGAGTTGTAGAAGATTACTGCCCTGTCTTAGAGCAAGGGTTCAGTTTTTTTAAGGCGAATTAACAGATGTTGACAATGACTTTGCAGGGCATGACACTGGGAGATAAAGCTAAAAGATAAATGGTACAGAATCTAAGGTTAGGCTGCAGAAGGTGAAACCTTTTGTGAGCTGCAAAGTCTGTTTTTCTTCTGTCCCTGCAATCACAATGTTATCAGGCAGAGGTCAATGGCTGAATCCCTGAATGGACAGTGCACTAACAAACCCAGTTTGTTGCTCTGATTGTATCTCATACGACCCATACACAGTATATAAGATAAGGGTGAAGCCTTTCAGCTCTGAACGTATTTGATTTTTCAGTATTTACATCTTAAAGTCAAGGTTTTTTTAACGTTTGTTGACGTTAAAAAACGTATGTTTGACACCCCTGCTTAAGACAGTTTGCATGGAGACACTCCAGGAGAGTGTTCAGGTTGGCTGTGTCCGTTCCTTGTTCACAGTCTACTGTTGTTAATGATAAAGCCACAGTGTAAAAACCGTTTCCAGTCACGGGTTAATAAATCCACTCTGTATATTCCCCGACTTCAAGTCATTTGTGTAATGTTTATATATTCATGGCTGGAGGAGGAGTTTATTTAAAGCAGCCACAGCAGCAGCTCTGTCAACACGTCGACCTCTTTTTCATGAATTATTCCTTATTGCAGTTCACTCACTCCCACGGCCACGGAGAGTCCGACCCGGGGACGAGCCTACGCGGTCGGGAGCGCGCAGCAAGTCCTGTCTCATCCGTCTCTTCCTTCGCCGTAGTCGAGGAACTAATGGAAGCCAAATTTGACTGTTAATTTCCAGATGTTTTTTTTTTTTAAATACCGCTTGTGCTAACGCTTTTTCTGCGCGGAGAACAACAAGCGAACATTTAAACCCAACTCGTCGACTATTTCTTCAATTCCCGTCAATCTTTTAAAAGACGAGAGGGGGTAGAACATCTGTGCTAATGATGTGACGGTCCAGGGCTCGTCCTTCGTCGTCCTCACCAGGTCGTTCTTTTTAACTTGATGCTGCTGCTGCCGCTGCTCTTCGGCGTGGAACAGCGTGGGAACAACCCCAACTGATGTGACTCAACCAGCAACCACATGAGCTGCTGTGAGAGCTTCACCGCCCTGTGAAAGGTAAGATCAGACTCACACCCTGATTACAGTCAGAGCCACAGCTGAGGAGAGCTTTTACTCCTTTAAATAAACGCAGTCATCAGGAAAAACAACCGGCTTTCCTCCAAACAGGTGGTGTTTCTGCACTTGTAGCCCGGAGTACACAGTACTGTGGCTCTGTATTTTGATTTATTTTCATTCACAACATTTCTGACGTGTCTGTCACTGTGTAATCTGACCTATTTTCAAGTGATCATTCGTGAGAAATGTACAGACAAGATGGAGAAGTGGCACAAGTCGTGTCAATTAAATTGACCAGATTTTTATTTATTTATTTTTTTACTTTGGTTTTTGAAATAAGAAAGCAGAGTTGGTAAGACTGGAATATAGATATAAATAGAAATAGAAACCAAATCATGTGCTATAATAACATTCAGAAGGTTAGGATTAAGAGATTTTAATTCCTATAATTTACTAATCAAATCAGTATAAACAAACGTCCATGCAGGTTTGAGAGGTTTGTCAAACTGACAAAGTAGCCAAGCTTCAACATGTTTATAATCCTAGTGATAAAGTCTAACACGAAATAAACCTAAAACCATTTTTATACAAAAATATTTAAACAAGAATATACTCTGACTTTGGATGAAACCAGAGTCCTTACAGAATATGTAAATATATTAGCTTTGCTAAATCAAAACAAATCAATATGACATCCTCAGACAACAGACTCAGCACTTAAACGCTCCAGTATCCCTTGGCTTTGACCTAGAAGAAGTTAAAATGAATCGTGCAACAGTTTTCAACAGTCAAATCCAAGAAGAGTCTGGAATAACAACATAATCACAGAACAGTTCACGTTCCACTCATGGAACCACAGAAATGTAGAGAACGTATGAAACACGTTAGCAATGTTGTTCTCTGAGCATGAAGCTGACAAAGAATAAAGATGTTTTTTGTTTTTTTTAATCAGCTCAGACAAAGTGCTGGAGTGCCATCATGTGACAGTTGAGACCACACCATGAAGCGCTAGCACAGAGCCCAGTGTTTCACAGGGCATGTGTGACATTTGGTTTCTCACACACTTTGGGGCTGTGTCATTTAGAGACATGTTATCTCATGTTCGCACTGTTCCATTTTCCTCTTCCACCGCCCCTCTCAGGGCAGCATATTATCATTTGATGACAACTAGAAAAGCAGAATATCATAGTCTTAGTGTAAACTGAGTGCAGTCATTTAGCAGCAGTTGTAACTTAGTCATTTGATGTATTTTCTCTTCCATCACATCAAACTGAGCCTCTGTAGCAAACCCTGTAGCATATGGCACTCAGTGAACCAGCTACAGTCATAGTTGGAGGTAGCTTAGTACTGTAAACAGGAAGAGCCTCTAGGGTTACACTTGTGATGGAAAATTCAGCTTCTTACTCTGTGACAAGCTGGCTGCTCAGTCAGGAGAAGTGCTGAAAACTCCAAGCCTCAGTCAAGAACACACACTGGCCGAGGCTCCGTCATCATAGATCAGTCAGGATCGTCCAAGATCGTCGTTCTGACCTGACTCAGCAGATCAAGTTCAATTCTGCTCAGGATTTCAGCCATATATATACAGACAATTTAACAAAAAATATTTTTTCAGCCAGTGTAGAAACTGCAATGTACAATTATAATAATTTTTCAAGCTACAGTCAGCTATGGTGTGTGGTTGTAAAATGGTAAAACTAAGTTTACCTGTAACCAGATACTCATTGGCTTTTGTAAGTAGTGTTCCTTTCATGCACTCAGTGGAGACATCACTGCAACAGCCAATTAGAGCTAAGGATTTAAATTACCTCGGAGTACCTCTGAGCGCAAAACCATTGATAATAACTGATGAGCATTTAATCAGTGAATCTGGTGCTCAGTCCAGTGTTATTTGATAATCACTGTCCTGCTGCAGGACTGTGACGTCCTGACTCAGCATCAGAAGCCCTGTGATAGTCTGCCGGTCACTGACTGTCGGACATTGTCTAATTGATGCTCTCCCATCTGTTTACATTGTAAACTAGTGGTTTAATGTGTCAGGTGAAGGGGATACAGTCACACAAGAGTTTCACAGCCAAAACTGTGCGACCTTTAATACCTGGAAATCCTATTCTGACTCGATAGATTTGATTACGATGTGGTGGGATGTTGATTTTATGAAGAGCTCCAATCGGCATATTGATCTCGGAGGTCACGTTGCATTTTTTTCTCGGTTTGATTGAGAACCTGCAGCAGCACGATATCGATTTAAGTGAGAAACTGTCCTGGCTTAGTGTATGTCAAAGTACGATCAAGGGTCAAGGTCCTAGAACGCTTTGAACATTTTGATCAAGATTTGGATTTATTCAGCGTTGACATCAAAGCAGCAATGGCAATCAGACTTGAATACAGATCCAAGCCTCGTTTCGGAGAGCAGGCTTCCATTTCACCGTGCCTCTGTTGTACTACAGTGGAATGCTGTGATTAAATTGAACCAGCGTCAGCTCACAGGATTTTTATTTTGTGGACCTGAACTCTGTGCAAGAATGAGTTTTGCATTCAGTTGCATTTGGATGACGGAGGCAATAAGTGTGTACTTTAAATGAAAGCACCAAAGGGCATTTACTGACTAATGGAGTATCATTACATACTAATTATATACTATATAGTGAAAGGTGAGTCGTCGTTTAGCGTGTTTCCATTTGTTCTTCTTAAGCACTGAACCAGTCTGACTGTTGGTTAAAGGCCTCTTTACAGCCCAACCCTTTATACAGACGGTGTTTTTGAAACAGTTGGCTGACAGAATTAGTAGAAGTCAGTGTTGATTTTTTGGAATCAGGAATCAGTAGATTAAAACATGTTTTCCAAAGGATGTTGAAGTGTTACTCTAACAAAAACAAATTGAATTGATTTTAGTGCTACATTTTGGACAATTGGTGTCCAAATGCTGACATATATTGTACTGGGTCATCACAGATACTGCTTCATGACACCAAAGTAGGAGTTTAATTGTTTTTTTTGTTTTTTTTTACCAATAAAACACAAACATATATCTGCTTTCCCACCATTTGATAAATTGCATTTCTTCTGTTAGTTTTTCTCTTCTTGAATTTTATGGATTTAATTAGAGTTAGATATTTAGAATTGTAAATTATTCTGTTATCACCTTATCTGAAGCAGCAAACATCTTGGCATTGGGTAAAAAAAAATATGTCAGATACCAGGAAGCGAAACTAAACAGGCTAAATATTTGTTGTTTTCTTTTGTGCTAAAGTTTAATTGTACTGTATGAATAATAATCATATCCTAACAAACCCACTAACATCTAACATGCACCTCTTCTTACTCTATGACCCACTATCCTTATGACTTACTTATAACATATTCTTATGACTTATTTTTATGACATACTATCTACTATCCAGACATACTTACTATTTATTTATTGTTGCCTGATTGTTCATTGACTCAAATTCTACATCGATTTGGAAAACAGCGTCTGCTAAATGTATTGCAATGCAATTGTAATGTAATGATTAAGAAATCACATACTGTATATTGTTTAATAATAACAAAAGAAATATGTCAACATCCAAAACCTAGTTTGATGTTGTACTTCTCTCAGATTGAACTTCCTCAATGATGATATCATAACAGTCAGGCAGCTGACTGTTGAGTTGAGAAATAGACATGAAATGTGTCCATTATATTGTAATTACCATGAAATAATATTTTTTACTTCTGCTCGGAGCTATTTAAATGAGCATTCATGTAGAACAATGATGTCCCACGTCCTGGTCAATATGTGCAGCAGGTGTGGGGGTTATTTAAACGCATGTTCAACTGTTCCCAGTTCATAGAGAGGTGCACTCAGCATATATTAAGATCAAGCTGTGGACATCTTTGTGATGACACAACAGAACAGTCTCCTTCCTGCCCACCTGGACCCACCATCCAACTGTGCAGGACTCTCTGCTTCTCTGTTAGCCTAAAAATTGCTATGTAATCTCACTCACTCAGTTTAAATGACGATGTCCACTGCCAGGAGTCAGAGGCTTGAAAAATGATGAGCTGCACATTGACTTTGTCCTTGTAGCTGCTGACTGAGCAAAGCACATTTCTACCCTAATTTATCCATATATGCCGCTGCACATCTCTGGTCTGCAGAGGTAACAGATACCATTCTGAGTCTATCATGTGCCTCCAGGTAGATTCACTCTTTTGGTCTAATGCACTTTATGTCAAATTTTATTCCTGCTTTCCTTTTTTGAGCCCTTTTTAATTTCTTTTTTTTCACTTAGATGCCTGATAAATTTGTTTGTTTTTTTTTCACCTCATATGCTGCTCTTGCTGGGCATAGTGCACAGCGGGACTGAATTAGGATGTCTTGCGGGTTTGACAGCCAAGTGAGCTGAAGTAAAGAATCATTGAACCATTGCACTTCAACACAATGCAGGTCCACTTAGGATGTGTTCATCACACTTGGTTTGGTTAAAAGACACAGGAAACTCTCCTGTTGTGTGGTTCACTTATAGATGGGTGACTGATATCATTCAGACCTACATGACTTTTCTGTGGAGTTTGAATGTACACTTGAATGGTGGGCTTCGTCTTTAAGACTACTGTCTTTCACACCCAAACTGAAAACATGTCTTAACCTTTGGCTTTAGTCTTTTTTAAGTTACAAGGGGCAAAGTGGCAAGAAAATAGGAGTAAAAGTAGGATTAGGGCCTACACTCACTGTGTACTCCTCGCTCCCCTTCTGTGATGTATCCTTCCTGTTGCTCATTACCATTACAATCCGGTTGCCCTGATTCACCATTGACCTGCTGTTGCCTTCTAAATCTTCCACATTGACTCAGTGTGGCTTTGTAATAACAACAGTTATGTAAAATGCCATACATTTCTATTGTTGCCTGCGCTTTTATTTATGAAATACATCACAGAGTCATCTTATATGCATTTTTACACAGGGCTTATTGGAGACGGATGCAGTTGCCATGCAACACAGGAAATAAGCGCTC